CACAAAGTAAATGTCAGATGCATTAAAGATTTAAATGTAAAATATAAAACCATAAAAAAACTGAAAGAAGAATGTAGGTTAAAAATAGAAACATAACTTATCTCAAAATAAGGAGAAATGGTCTAAGCACAAAAGCAAAAGGAGAGTCACAAAAAAAAGACTGATAGGTTTGATTGCAGAAATATTTAATTCTTGTGTTTATTAAAAAGTATATGTAATATCTATGTGTGTGTATATATATATATTTAAAATTTAAAAGCAAGGTGACAAAATAGAAATATGTAATTGGAACAAATACTATAGTAGAATGGCTAATGTAGCAGTTTTTATCAAAATAATCTAAGAAAATGATGAATGGCACAATTTTTAAAAATGGGCTGGAGGCATGAAAAAACAATTTGTGGGATGGCTTTATACAATTTTTTTTAAGTTCGACTTCATTAGTAGTAAAAAATTCAGACAATAAAATATCATTTATCTCCTATCACACTTAGAAAGAATTTCTAAAACAATTGTCAATTATGGCATGAAGTGTACTCTCAGAGAGTTGTCATGGGACAGTCTTTAAGAGCTCCATCACTCTCTTTAAATCATGATTCTTTCTATGTGCATCCTCTTTGATCAACTAATTCCACTTCTTGAAACCTATCCTGAAGAAATGATGCAGAAAGATCATGCAGATGATGATGCAGAAAGAAGCAGAAAAGTCATGCAGAAAGATTTTTGTAAAGAATATTAATTGCAGTGTTTTTATTTAAGCAAAAAATTCAAAGCAATATATAGGTCCAATAATGGGATATTGATTAAATAAATATAATGGAATATTTAAAAGCTATGCAAACAAGAGGTGTTTGATGATTTATTTTTGACTTGAGGAAATGAATGTTTTTTAACTTTTTATTTATTTTTATTTAAATAGATTTAGGGGTTACCATTTTTTGTTACATGGATGAATGGTACAGAAGTTTAGACTTTTAACATACCTATCACCTGAATAGTGTGCAATGCACCCAATAGGTAATTTTTCATCTTGCACCCCCCTCCCACCCTTCCCTTTCTGAGTATCCAGTGTCCATTAAATTATGATGAATGACCATGCATGCCCATTGCTTAGCTCTCACTTGTAAGTGACAACATGCAGTATTTGCTTTTTTTGTTACTGGGTTACTTCACTTAGAATCATGCCCTCCAGTACCATCCAAGTTGCTGCAAAAGACATCATTTCATTCTTGTTGATGACTGAGTAGTATTCCATGGTATGTATACACCACATTTCCACATTTTCTTTATCCACTCAGTTGGTGGGCACTTAGATTGGTTCCATATCTTCACAATTGTGAATTGTGCTGCAATAAACATACGGGTGCAGGTGTCTTTTCTATAAAATGACTTCTTTTCCTCTGGGTAGTTCCCCAGGAGTGGGATTGCTGGATCAAATGGTAGATGTACTTTTAGTTCTTTGAGAAATCTCCATACTGTTTTCCATAGAGGTTGTACTAATTTACATTCCCACCGACAATGCATAACTGCTCCCTTTTTGTTGTATCCATGCCAGCATCTGTTGTTTGCTGACATTTTAATAATGGCCATTCTGACAGGGGTGAGGGGTGAGGTGATGTGTCGTTGTAGTTTTAATTTGCATTTCCCTAATGATTAGTGATATTGTGCATTTTTTCATATGTTTGTTGGCCATTTGTTTCTCTTCTTTTGAAGAATGTCTGTTCGTGTCTTTTGCCCACTTTTTAATGGGGTTATTTTTTTTCTTGCTGATTTGAGTTCCTTATAGATTGTAGATATTAATCCTTTATCAAATATATAGCTTATGAATACTTTCTCCTATTCCGTAAGTTGTCTATTTACTCTGTTGAGTATATCTTTTGCTGTGCAGAAGCTTTTTGTTTTCATTTCTATTTGTTTTTGTTTTTGTTGTATTTACCTTTGAGGCCCTAATCATACATTCTTTACCTAGGTCAATGTTGAGGATAGCTTTTTCTAGATTTTCTTCTAATATTTTTGTGGTTTCCGGTCTTACATTTAAATCTTTAATCCATCTTGAGTTAATTTTTGCATTTGGCGAGAGATGGGGATCCGGTTTCATTCTTCTGCCTGAGGCCGTCCAATTTTCCCAGCACCATTTATTGAATAGCTCTTCCTTGCTGATGGAAGGACACATTTGCACAACTTCTGTAGAGGGCAAGTGGGCAGTATTAATTAAAATGAATGGCGTGTGTCACTTGTTTCAATAATTTTGCTTCCAGGGTTTGACCTTACAAATGTATTTGCCTTGTGGGAAAATATGAATGTTCAAAAATACTCGTGCCAGCATTACTTCAATTAGCTGAAATAAATAAACAAATAAATAAACCTAGAAATTGCATATCAATATGAGTCTAATCAAATACATGTTGGGTTATCCCCATGAGGGAACCCTCTGCAGCTGCCAACAACATGAAGCAGGTTTATCTGCGGCGGGTGGGAAACCGGGTCTCATGCCAGTTGTTAAGTGAAAAAAGCAAGGTGTGTGATTGCATGCATCAAGGCATCATCCTTGACTCTACTCTCTTCTTCTGGACCATCTGGCCTTCCCCCTTGTTGTGTCCACTCCACAGATCCTCCTAGGCTGGCCGTTGTCGTTCGGATGTGGGTCGCAACTCCAGCACTGACTCCTCAGGGAGGCCTTCGCTGGTCACCCCGTGCGATGTCGCCTCTCTGCCGCGTCTCGCGTTATCATGCTTTAATCTGGAATCATCTGTCGTTATTGGACATTACCTTACTTACTTGCTTTTTTCACTTTTTAATTGCCCATTCCTCCCAACATAATGTAAACCCTATGAAAGGCTGTCTGCTTTACTCACCATGCTGTTCACAGTCCCTACGAGACTCTGGCATGGAGAAGATGCTCAATGAATTGTTGAATGAATGAGTCAATGAACCGATATTTATGGTATGCCAGCATTCATATGCACAAATACACAATGTGTGTGCTGGGGTATGTCCTGTGTGTTTTATATGTGCACACTCATACACACACATGTTGGTGACAAAGTCAAAGTCTGACTCATAATTTTCATTGAATACCCTCCTTACATACATGTGTGTGTTACTTATTCAATAAATGCTTTTCCAAAGTAAAGATACAGGATAGGCAGAGGAAGAGGAATGCACAGCAAAGGGTATTTAAAAAAGAAAAAAAAAAAGAGCAATCAGAAAAGTGGAAGAAAATCCACGATATTGTGGTGCCATGGAAACCTAAAAAAAATTTCAAGGATGGAGTTATCAAGAGCGCCAAATGATACTCCTATTTCTATTCTTATTTCTAGAATACTATGATACTGAAGCCAGAAATGGCTTTTAGAGAGGCCTGATCCAGCCCAGAAAGCACCAAATTCACCTGTGCAAACCTCTGCAACATGTGCAGAGGCCTGCTGGCCAAACGACAAAGCACACACCCAGAAACACTGTCTATCCAAAAATCACACAGTGATGGCCAGGCCCCCACCAGTACCGAAAAACTGTGCAAAAGCCACTAGAATCCCATGTAATCAACTCCCAGAGAGGGAAATAACATGGACTTTCATTTTAAATGCCAACATATTTAACACGGTTTCAAGATTTGTACCAGGCTTTGCTTTAATCAGGTAGGGCAAAGTGACAGACACACAGGAACAGCTGCCTTTGAAAGAAGAGTGTATTACTCACAGTTCCCAAGAGAAGGGGGCTGCCGTGCCAGGCAGGGTCATGTGGGAGGCACATGGGCTTGTCGGGAGGTGAGAGAGAGAGGGGAGAACATGGCCCAGAGCCTTGACTGTGGGTTCTATGGGAAGGAATGGGCGAGGTGGGGTAGAAAGCTTGAGCAAGTCTAGGATTGGACAGGTTGAATAATGTTAGTGGGCTCTGGAGTACAAGGATGGTCTCTAGTTGTCCACCTCGCCCTTGGGTGATTAGGGTAGGGGGCGTGTTGGCTTGGCATGTGAGAGTTAGATAGAGGAGGTGGTTGGAGACATGGGCTCTGGGTTCACTGGTTTGGATAACAATGGCATCCTCACAGGGGAGGCATTCGCCATCTCCAGGAATTCGCTAGCACTGGAATGGGCTGTCTCGCCCAGGCCTAAAAGGCTCCCAAGATGTTGAAGCATCATAAAATATAGAAAATTAAAAACGTGATTAATACACACACGGACTCTAAAAATGATACCTAAGATAGTGTGCGTGGAATAAAATATTTCTTTGACCCTTCAACAGGACCATCCCTGAGTCCAGTTGTCTTTCTGTAACAAATCCCACCATGGAGATGAAACCAATGTCTCGCCAAATCTCTCTCCACCACAGCTTCTTACTTCCCAGCTGTCATTTTCTTGCTGAGACCCTCCCTCATCACCTGCCTCAACAGCTCCGACCCCCCTGGCCCCCCATGTTCTCTCCATCTGTCAGCCGCCAAAGGGAAGCTCCTTTGCTGTCCTTCAAAACCAAGATCTCTCGGATTAACTCTTTAATCACTTGAACCAACACTCTCAACTCCATTGTCTGTGGGTCTATACACCCCATTTATAAAACTCAATCCTTTTTCTCTAACTTCCCAAATACCTGTGTGTGCTTAGTACTGCTGAAGACTCATCACTCCACAATACCGCTACCTCAGTGGGCCCCTTCCTTGGCCATGCACTGGAATTACTCAAAGGCATTTTAGAATACCAATGTCTGAGCCCAATCACCAGAGATTCTGACTTGCTTGGTCTCAGTGTAGGTCGGGCAGTGGGGTTGTCAAAAGCTCCCTTTAGGCGATTTTAAGGGGCAGGCAAGGTTGAGAAGCACTGCCCTCTACAAAATCAGTTACAGTGGAAGAGGCGGCCCTCCTCCTGCTTAAATTTAATCCTCTCACTTGGGTTCCAGATCCATCTTCACCTACCTCCTCGGAGAGCTCACACATTACTTAATGCTACTGTCTCCCATGCTTTGAACCCAGGTTATGAACAACTTTAAGATAGGAAAGTGCCAATTACCTTGATTGTACAGGGCCTTTTCCTGGATGTAGAACTTCTAGCTGAGGGGAGGGGCTAGATCACGTGGAGTTTGCAGTTCCCAGTCAGTGAATACATCCTCATGTGGAAGGCTAGAAGAAAGGAGGGAGCTTGAGCACCCTCATTCGGAAGGAAAAAGGAAAGGGGAAGTAAATATGAAAGTTACATAAAAAATCTTTATTAAAATTTCTTTGGATACGAGACAGTTTCCCTCATCTAAGCCAAGGCTCACTTAAGAAGTAATATTTGTGTAACCCTTTGGAGGGCAACAATTCTCCAAAAAATCTGAGCTGTAGATGACAGCTAAGCCTTTATATTAAGCCTATTAATGACTTAAGTCTTTGCCCAGGGCTTCTGAAATTTTAATCCCACATGGTGGAGATCAAGATTTCTATGATCCTCTTGACAAGAAGGCAAATGCAGCTTCTTCATATGACAATAGGGGGAGAGGGCCATATCATCTCCCTGAACCCACCACCGCTTGGCTTACCTGCTCCCAGGGCTCATATCCCCTGCAGCATCCGCCTCCTTCCCTGGCAGCTGATTTATTGGTCTTAGTGTCTCATTACAGAAGTCTGTGTCGTCCCCAGCCTTCAGCTGCTCCCTAAAATAGTTGCTACCTTCTAAGAAACAATCAACAAAGTGAGTTTCATACATTCTGTGTCATTACAATTAAAACACACAAGCAGAAAAAGAAAAGTACAGTCCTTCATCTAAAGGTTGCTGGGACATGTCGCCTGCAGAGGCAAGGCTGGGCCTCTTAGAGAAAGGTGGCAACGATGGCCATAGCACCCTGAACGCGCCCATCTCGTCTGATCTCGGAAGCTAAGCAGGGGCGGGCCTGGTTAGTACTTGGATGGGAGAAAGGTGGCAGTGCCATATTTCAGGGACACAGAGCCAGGCCACTTGGGTCTGAATTCTGTTTCCTCCAATTCCCTACTGTGACCTTGGACAGGTTACTCTAACCTCTTTTGACCTCTTAGTCTTCACTGGATAATCTAGAGTTGATGTTAGCACCTGCCTCACAGGGCTGTGATCATTAAAGCTAATACAGAAATGTGCTTAGAACAGTGCCTGACACTCTTAGCTATTACCAGGAAGGCACCATGCATGGGAGCTATTCTCTGGTGGGCAGGATCAGTGCTGAAGTCCTGAAGCTATTCTAGGCAATGACAATTGTTAGCTTTATATCCCAGGCCTCATACCTCACAATGACACACCTGAATGGGATTTCAGGAAAAGAGCAAAGATGTTCCAGATGATTTTTAGGAAGGCTTGCTGTGGGGTGTGGGAGGAGCCCCTATCAACCTCCACACTGAAATCAGTGATCATTGCACTGGGATTTGTGGTCCATGTGGACGATGTGATTACATCCCGGCCACAGGTAAGAGAAGAAAGTCTAAGGAGCTTCAGTCTTGGTGTGGTTGTGTTGCAAAATATGGGCCTATTTCAGCTTTGTCCAATGTCACTACTAAACCTGAAAGTCGTTTATATTTGGTGAAATGTGTTGCTACATGAATAGCTGAAATTAAAAGTTTCAGCAGAAGAAATTCACTCCAAAAATTTTTTAAAACCATTTTACCCATAATATTCCTGGAAAACTATGTTATCAAAGAATACAATACTATATAACACACTGTATTTTCCTATAAGAACAATATCATAAATCAAAGGCTGGTTTTATGACTAAAAATTTCCATTAAATTAATCCTCTAGGTAGCCAGAAATGTATCAAAAGAAAAGTACTCTAAACCTTTAAAATAATTTAAAGTAATGAAATAGATATTCTAATGCCTTATAAAATATTATAAGAAGCACCTACTTTTTAATGCAAAGGTCCCAATAATAAAATGCACATGTAAGTCATAAAAAATATAACCTGATGACATTATAAACTTGATTTTCTAAATAATATGCTAGCTTTAGTAATATTTTAGAAAGTCTTGTAGTTTTTCTTAGAAATAACTTCAGAATAAATATTTGGACAACCTAAATAACTTAAAATTGTTTATCGAGGATGTCTGAAATAGAGATCACTTTTTCTCGAGATATTTTTCTCTTTTATTAGCAGAAGCCTTCAAAATTATTCCACTGATCTTAAGGCTACCTCACACTGGTAGAGTAGGATTTTAAATATACATTTGATGATGACAATATTAGTAACAATTATAGTACTTCTCCCATTAAAACTCTTAAAAATAAAGGAGCCAATCCAATATAAGACTTAGAATCAGACCCCCGACTCCACTTAGGAAATACTTGACGTTGGGTTGGCCTTGAGTAGCTAACTCAGACTCAATTCTCTCCTTCCTCAAGTGTCTTTGACATTCTTTGAAATTAAATAAGCACTATACAAATGGAAACTTCTTTTTCTTTTCATGGATAAAGGAGAAATTGGCCCCCCTCTTGAGAAAACACCCTCCTAGCAAGATCAGAGCTGGAACGTCATCTTTTTTATGGAAGTTGGGGATGATTTTGGATTCTTTGTCACTAGACTAAGAGGTGGATGGAGAGAGGGAGGGGGTCTGTGAGGCAGTTTCTCAGGGCAGCACCCCTCACCTTCCCACCCTGTCTTCAGGGCACTGGTTGTATGTTCACTGTCAACAGGAACAGAGGCAAGATGGAAAGGGGCTCCCGTGCCTCTGTGAACAGCTTCGGGACCCCAATTTGCTCTTCCATCATCATTCCCAGCCCCTCCACTTATTTTCCTTTTTTGGCCTCTCTTTGATTTCAGCGTCCCCAGCTCTGCCCCAGCTGGCCAGAAGGGAGCTTCCTGGACTGGAATCCAACCTTTCCTTTCAGCTTCCCTCACCAGCCTTCTGCAGGCCGCAGTTGGCTTCCAGGACGGGAGGGAGCCCGGAAGCATTTCACATTTAATGCAAAGCTTGAGGAGCAACTCCAACCAATGGAGCTTCTGAAAAGGGGCCTCCAAAATCTCTCTCGCAGCCTCCCGAGGGCGGCATAAAACACTTTGTGTTCGATGCAGAGAACTCTTAGAACAGCTTGTATTTTGCAAAAGAGAAAAATAAGAAAATGTTGAGTTTACAAGCCTCAGCAGAATAGAAGCAAATGTGTCAGGAAATAAAAATTAATTTCTGTTCATAGCATTGGCTCGACTAGCACCTTTCTCCTAAAGTGTTCAAAGTTCAACACGAATATGCCAAACGTTCATTGAGGGCTTGCCATGGACTGGCCACTGCTAAGTGCTCTACACAGATGATCTCGTTTAATCTTCACAAGAGCCCAGGAGGAGGATATTATCATTCACCTTATTTTACACAGGAAGAAACTGAGACAATGGAGACTTTTACTTGCCCGTTGTAGTTATCGCAAAAGCTGAGGAGCCGAGATTCAGACTCGGGCATCAGGGTTTGGAACAGACACCTGTGCTGCCTCCAGAGGGTCGTGGTCTGCCAAGCAGATGAAACCACCTCCACTACACAGAGGGCATCTGCTCCTGAGAAGATTTTAAAGTCTTGGGAAAATGTCGCAGCCAGGGTGGGATTCCCAGGCTCCAGACCACCAGATCTCAAATCTATTGTGTTCTGGAAACTAAGAGGCACTGGCCCGTTGAACAAGCTGAACTCACAGGATGTAATCAGAAAATAGCTGTGTTCCTCCTTACCCCATACCATCAGCCAGCACTGCTGCGGGGTTGGTCCTTCCCTACCCTTGGACAAAATCCATACTATGTAGCATAAATTTCCTGCTTCTTCCTAGAAAATAAAAAAGTTTTCAGTCACTTTCAGTCCCCAAAGCATTCTGATGTTAGCCTTAAAAATATCCAGTGCAATGTAAAATCAATATTCTGAACCTCATTCTAAGATGTTTCTTCTGCCTCCTAAGCCCAAGAGCTTACAGTGGATAAGTTGGCTTCTTCCCTCTTCTCTAACCTTCCCAACTTTCTCACCTCCATCCCTACCTTGCCCCCACTAGACTCTTCTGATGCATCCCAGAGTGGAGCAGGGGAAAGAGCCAGATGAGGGGCAGAAATGTCCTTGCTGATGGGCAGTGGTGCCCCCTGGGAGCAGATGGAGTGCAAGAAGGAGGTCAGACTCAGGAAAATAGGCAAGGTGTGGAGAACAAAGCCAGAGCATCATTAATCATGAATTAGTGCCAGGAGAACCTGGGGCCAAAGGAAGGGAGGATATTAGAGTCTGTATTAGTTTCCCATTACTGTTGTAACAAATCACTATAAATCTGGTGACTTAAGACACATTTATTGTCTTACAGTTCTGGAGGTCAAAAACCCAAAATCAATTTCACTGGGCCAACGTCAGGGCTTTGGCAGGGCTTGTTCTTTCTGATGGCTTCAGAGGAGAACTCATTTTCTTGCCTTTTTCAGCTTTTAGTGGCTACCTGCATTCCTTGGCTTGTGAACCCTTCCTCACTTCATGCCAACATCTGGCCATCACCATGACATCTCCTTTTTTCATTCTCTCCTTCCTGCCTCCCTCCTATAGGGACCCTGTGATTATACCGGGCCCACTTGGATAGCCCAGGATAATCTCCCCATCGCAAAATCCTTAACTTAATCACACATGCAGAGGCCCTTTTGCTAAATAAGGTAATACTCACAGATTTGGGAGATTAGGAGAGGATGTGGACATTTGTGGGCACCATTATTCAGCCTATCACAGGATCTAAAATGTTAGGGCAAAACTGAGGCCAAAGTTTAGGCCTGGAGGTGAGCCAGAAAGCACTAGAGATAAAAGCAAGTTGGCTTCCTCATCTACAGGCCAGGAAGCAAACTGTATCTAAGAGGAGCAGGAAACACCCAGGCAGAACGCTTTTCTCTGCTCTTTCTGAGTGTCAAGAGACATTGGTTTGCTTAATTGGGTCATGGAGAAGATCCTGACAGGAGAAGATACTGCTTTTCCTTCTGCTAACCTGGACGTGCAGGACTGCAGAACATCGGAGCAGGAAGAGACCTCCATGTTCTCCCATTACAGCCACTTCCTTTCAGAAAGAAAAGAATGCAAAGCCCAAGAGTTGAGATCTGACATCAGACGTATCTGGATTTTCATCTCGCTGGCTCTTCACCAATCGTCTACCTCTGGTGGAGTCTGTACCCACCTCACAGAATTGTCCTGGATTTGACAAAATAACACGTTCCCGCCCTCACTCCCTAGAAGATGGCACGGGCCCAGTGCCCTCTTCGGGGTCAAGCCCATACTGAGCAAGGGAAACGGGGAAGGGCCTTTCAAAAAGAATCAAACAGGCTTTTAGCAAAATATTTCGCATGCCTATGTTTAGTGGTCACACTCTGAACATCTCCTAGCGGCTGGCGTTGCAGTCTGACTTGTCCTGGCTGCATTCCTCCATTCTCTCCTCTGCCCACAGAGATCCACAGACCCTGGCGGTTGCATCCATGAAAGAAAGGAATGGGAGTGAATCACTGGCAACCCAGGCTAAAGGCCAACGAGAAGCGGCTGGGGCGCAGACGAAGTGCAGAGATGCAAGAAGGCTAGGGGCCATTGGGGAGAAAAATTCCATGGAGGAATTTCCTTAAAGGGCAAGGAGAGGGACAGTCACATGGAGAGGAAAATGAAAGCCCAATCTTTCCACTGGGGCAGGTGGGATGAGCTGATGAAGAAGAGAAGAGATGTCTGATTCCCCATCCAAGATGGACACTATTTGTGGAATAGTACATATAAGGATAATACTTTGCATAAATTAGATCAATATATTTTTGTCTTTATTAATCCCAAAGGATTTCTGAGGTTCTGAAGCATCTATATCAAAACTAATAACCTTCAGATTTAGACACTGAGATTTTGATAAACTAGGATACAGGGAACCCAGGATATGAGATAAGGGAAATCTTGCATTCCTTAAATTTGGAAAAACTTCCCTTTCTGGCAAAAGTTTGGAGCAAAATATAGGAAAAGAAACATAGGAGAAGCAGATAATCAAACACATGTGTCCTGACCAGCCCTCTAAGGGACTAAAGCCCTGGGGATGAGGACAGGGCCAGAGGTGGAAACGCTTGACCCCCATTTGGAGCCCTGCCAGGAGACTGTGTTGAGGGTGACTCAGAGGCTCCGAGGAGGTTGGTGGACAACTGAGGAGCAGCAGTGGAGCAGGATGCCAGGAAAGCCAGTCTGAGACATGCCCCAGGCTCCCTCCAGCATGGGGCGCCTGCCTCCGGTTCCTGCCCACCTCGAGTGGGAGCTACAGAGGCAGCTGGAGGTTCAACCAAAGGACCTGCCAGCAGGGATCAGCTTGGTCAGAAAGAGTGGTCCTGCCACCAGGGGCTACAGAATTCACTTCCCAACCCAGGGCTCCCGGAGAAAATCAGTCAGTTCTTAGAGGTGTGTGTGTGTGTGTGTGTGTGTGTGTGTGTGTGTGTGTGTGAGGAATCATAGCATCAGAAAACTGGAAGTGGGATCATTTCAACAAGGGATTGCCACTGAGCCATGACAACAAACAATCCACGGGGTCCCGGCCACCGGCTTCTACAGCGGATGCTACAGGAGGGATCCACAGTAGCCGCATCTCAACTGAAACCTGTCGTGGGAATCTGAGAGGAGAGTGGGTGTCTGGCTGCAGAGGCCAGCACCAGGACAAGCAGGAAAGAGGAGTGGTTCTGCGCTCCCATTCCACATCCCATAGTCAATACCATCGGTTTTTATCATATACGCAGAAGCCATGTGGAGAAAGGAAAAAACTATAATAAAAAACACCATTCTGACATAAGGTTGAGCCTCAAATTAATGAAATATTTACCTGGAAAGATTATTGTAAGTCAGTATAGACCATGTATACTGTACTGAGATACTTGATTGGCATTACATTACATTATTTGCTTTTTCCCCCCCTTTTCACACTACACATCAGGATGGTGACTCAGGAAGGTAAGATCATTATAGAAAACAACTTGGCTACAGTTTTCATAGAACATCAGTGAAAAGTATTTAAATTTTATCACATAGGAAAGTTAATCTTTATTTTATTTTATTTTTTAATTAATACTTTTTATTCTATTTTATTTATTTTATTATATTTCTTCTCTTTTTTTTTCCATCCTAGTTTGTCCTAAGGCAAGTTGATCTTGAAGGAAAGATTGTTCCGGACTCCAGATTTATACTTGTAACCTATTAAGGAAAGATTTCCGTTCCAGAAAGGAGCTGTGCAGTACCCAGCTAATGTTAATATACAATAAGGAAATTACATAAGGTTTCAACAAGATCATCTTCTAAAGCGTGTCCATTAAATTTTAGTTGCCATGTCTTTCTTATCCCCACTACCAACATTTAAGTGTTTTCCCCTAAGGCACAGAGTTGGTTATGCACAGAGAGAAGATCATAGCATAGAAATGCCATTTAAAATTTTTCGTAGGAGTACAGACAGGGAGAGAATAGTACCAAGACCCACTCAAGACAGCTAATGAACGATAGTTGTATCCGAGGCTATGGAAGCTCCTATGAAGTATGGCAGGTGCAGGCCTAAGCAGCATGTTTCTCAGAAGGTGCCTCTTACATTTCACTGGGGAAAGAAGGAGAAAAGTTAATTCTGGCAAAAATGGGATGGAAAGAACTGAATGGAAAAGGTTAGTGGCTGAGAACCAGATATAGGAGTTCCTGAGGAGGGAACTGAGCTACTGACAGTAACAGGAAAGCCTGGTGGCAGGAGATATCAGGGTAGGAAAGTCTGGGGTAGGAAAGTGGGTACGGGGGGAGGGGGGGAATTCCAAGGGGGCGAAGGGAAGACCGGGCGAGCAGCAGGTCTCACAGGCAATGCAGTAAGCCAAGGGCCACAGGTCCAAATGGTGCATAAAATAGTGGTTCCTTCAATAAAACTCCTGGCATGAATCAGTCTCAAAGGGAAGAATTACTCCTATCTGCTTACGTCCACAGTTTGGAATCCACGATGGAATGACTTTTGTCTCAGGCCTCAGAATCTAGAATCTAGAATGAAAGGAAAATACTGTCCAATGCTTACGCTGAAAAACATACATTCCAGAACTGCAGGATCTTTTAGGTCTAATCCAACCACTTTGTTTTACAAATGAGGAAACTGAGACCCAGGGAGACTAAATGACTTGCCCAAAACCACAGAGCTATACTACAGCCAGAGTGAAGCCCCAGAGTGTTTACCACCATAGAATATTTACAAGTTTACATTGATGGTGTAAATAATCCAAAACCTGTAGTCATATCTACTTTGCTGAGACACAATTTTTATTATGCTTTTCCTCCACCCATTATCACTCACCCAGAGGCTATTTAGCTGTGCTGGACGTTGAGACAGCGAGTCGATGTCCTACTGTAACTGTCTCAATGTGATATTTATATCAGTAAGAATCTTAAATTTTTCATTTGGATATGTACTAAAAATATGCTTTTGTAGACATCTATAAAAATATTGATAAGCAAAAAGGAAGAAAATGAAAATATACATAATCCTATTACTCAGAGAGAACCCATTGGTATTTATTATTTATGGTCATCCTTTCAGTTCTTTTTCCTACTATTTTCTAACCTACTGGGATTATTTTTAATCTAGTAACATATCATCTGTCACTTTAGTATTCGAAAAAGTAAGAGGATATATTTTTGCTTTTCCCAGCATGGAAACATTTTTATTAGCTGACAATAGTGTGGAATCTGGAACATGATGCCCAAAAGTTCTTCGCCTTTACCCTGAGTCGCCTGTATCAGTTCATACCGAGTCTTCCTTTGAGGTGCATCAGGATCCCACCTCTCAGGTGTCTCTCCCTTCTTCTTCCTCACCATTCCCTCACTTTTCTTTTTAGCTCTAGCCAACCTCTCAACCTTTGGCTGCAGCTCATAGGCAGACGCTCAGCAGTTTTTCCCATCTGTGGACCTCAAGATGGAGAACGCTCCTGGTTCTTTGGATCCTGGGGTTAGCTGGTGGTGGAAGGAGCACTGATGAACCAGAAATTCTTTAGGTACTGCTCAAAGGGGAAGAGTGTGAGCAAAACAATAGTTCCCTCGTGCATTGGCATCACAGTGACAAATCTTCTGATTAAGGAAACTTTCTTCTGGCCAATAGTGGCCAAGTATTATCAAAGAATTCTAAGGGGTCACACACTGATGTATCTGGTTTTTTTCTTCCCATCTTACTAAACATCCATGATCTCTACCATAGAAATGAATGGATTAATATTGGGAATAAAGCCCCTTCCTGACCCATTGTTTCCTCTGCGCCTTCTAGTAATGCCAGTGAAGAGATTAAAACTTTGCAGAAGATGACCAAGAACAGGGAGAACAAGATTGGTGAAAGCTGGAAATGCTTCTGGTGGTAGGCAAATATGCAAAGGAGACATGTCTCAGCAGAAACGTGATATGGGAGACCAGTGAGGAGGCTGCAGAAATAGTTTAATGACTGAGAACCTGGGACTTAATGGTTCTCAGGAGACAGATGTGACAGTTCTCTTGTGTGATGTGTCCTCTCTGCTCTAAAACTGGATGTCGCTGGTCACTAAAACCAGGTGCCTGGGAGAAGGGGAAATGGTGCTTTCATCTCTTCCCTTTAGGAAGAACAGGCTCAGAAATTCTAGTTTCTCTTTCCTTTGCCAGCTACTCTCGACTGTTCGACAATCCCATTTGTTTATTTTTGATGCTGCAGTGATTGCTTTGGGGGTCTTCCTCAAAAATTCTTTGCCTAGGCCAATGTCTGATAGGGTTTTCCCAACATCTTCTTCTAGGATTCTTAAGGTTTCATGCCTTAAGTTTAAGTCTGATATCCATCTCGATTGAACTTTTGTGAGAGGTGAGAGGTAGGGATCCTGATTTGCTCTTCTGCATGTAGCTAGCCAGTTTTCCCAGCACCATTTATTGAAGAGAGATTCTTTCCCCCAATGTATATTTTTGTCAGGTTTATCAAAGATTAGATTACTGTATACTGATGGTTTCATCTCTGGTATCTCAGATCTATTCCAGATATCTATGCTTCTGTTCTTGTGCCAGTGCCAGGCTGATTTAACTATTATTGCTTTATAGTACATCTTGAGCTCAGGAAGACTGATGCCTCCCAGTTTGTTCTTTTTATTTAAGATTGCTTTGGCTATACGAGGTTTTTTCTGGTTCCATACGAAGTGAAGAATTATTTTTTCTAAATCTGTAAAGAATGCTGATGGTATTTTGATGGGGATTGCATTGATTCTGTAGATCACTTTAGGTAATATTGGCATTTTAACTATATTGATTCTACCAATCCATGAACAAGGTAGATTTTTCCATCTGTTTAAATCTTCTGCAATGTCTTTTTTTAGTGTTTCATAGTTCTCCTTGTATAAATCTTTTGTATCTTTCATTAGGTATATTCCTAGATATTTAATTTTCCTTGGGGCTATAGTAAAGGGTATTGCGTTTTTGATTTGAGTTTCTGCTTGATGGTTCTTGGCATATATGAATGCTTCTGACTTGTGTATACTGATTTTATAACCTGAAACTTTACCAAATTCGGTTATCAAGTCTAGGAGTCTCTTGGAAGAGTCCATGGGGTTTTCTAGGTATAATATCACATCATCGGCGAAGAGTGAGAGTTTGATTTCCTCTGCCCCCACTTGGATGCCCTTAATACCCCTCTCCTGTCTGATTGCTATCGCTAGGACTTCAAGTACTATGTTGAATAGGAGAGGAGATAGTGGGCACCCTTGTCTAGTTCCAGATCGAAGGGGGAAAGATTTCAATTTTTCTCCATTTAGAATGATATTAGCAGTGGGTTTGTCATAGATGGATTTAATCAGTTTAAGGTATGAGCCATTTGTATATCTTCTTTAAAGAACTATCCAGCACAACTTTTTAACTTATTTTTAGACACTTCTTTGACTGTTATTTTGTCTCTCAACATCAACAAGTTATTGCTTTCTCTATTTCCTCCATAGATGTTTTCTCTCCCAGTCAAATCCTCCATATGTGGGCTTTTGCCCACCTTCTTTCCAGTGTCTGCATTTTGTACAGCAAAGAAATCTCAGAAATTCTTCCTCCTTGGATACTGAGGAAGAATAAATTGAAACCTAAAATTATTGAATGAGCAAACTGTGAATATGATAAGCCAGGCATGATGGTACACACCTATAGTCCCAGCCACTCAGGAGGCTGACGTAGGAGGATCACTTGAGCCCAGGGGTTCGAGGCCGTAGTGCTCTATGATCATGCCTGGGAATAAGCACAGCATTCCAACCTGGGCAACTTCATCCAGCAAAACTTCATCTCTAAAAAAAAGAAAAAGAAAAAAAAACCTTTGTGTATGATGTTTTTTGATAAAGCTAGTTAAAAGTAGAAGAGTGCCAACCAAAGGCAATATATTGGCTCTATACTGCTTGAGCCATAGTCCTTCTTCATTAAATAACTATAGAATATGGCAGAAATCTATTAAGACTTATTCCAGAGCCTGAGCTCTTGGCCACTACCTTCTATAGCCTGTATATGTGTATATCAGGGTGGGGAAGACTGGGGTAGGAGAGTGGGGGGTGGGGAGTGCAGGGAATTCCAAGGGGGGGGGAAGGGAAGTCAGGGTACACTGCAGACCTGCACCCGCACACAGAGCGCATGAAGCCAACAGCCACAGGTCCAAATGGTGCATAAAACAGTGGTTCCCTCAATAAAACTCCTGGCATGAATCAGTCTCAAAGGGAAGAATTACTCCTGTCTGCTTACGTCCACAGTTTGGAACTCACGACAGAATGACTTTGTCTCAGATCAGAATCTAGAATCTAGAACGAAAGGAAAATACTGTCCAATGCTTACCCTGAAAAACATAGATTCCAGAACTGCAGGATCTTTTAGGTCTAATCCAACCACTTTGTTTTACAAATGAGGAAACTGAGACCCAGGGAGACTAAATGACTTGCCCAAAACCACAGAGCTATACTAAAGCCAGAGTGAAACCCCAGAGTGTTTACCACCATAGAATATTTATGGGATTACCTTGCATGGTCTAAATAATCCAAAACCTGTAGTCATATCTTCTCTGCTGGGACACAATTTTTATTATGCTTTTCCTCCACCCATTATCACTCACCCAGAGGCTATTTAGCTGTGCTGGACGTTGAGACAGCGAGTCGATGTCCTACTGTAACTGTCTCAATGTGATATTTATATCAGTAAGAATCTTAAATTTTTCATTTGGATATGTACTAAAATATGCTTTTGTAGACATCTATAAAAATATTGATAAGCAAAAAGGAAGAAAATGAAAATATACATAATCCTATTACTCAGAGAGAACCCATTGGTATTTATTATTTATGGTCATCCTTTCAGTTCTTTTTCCTACTATTTTCTAACCTACTGGGATTATTTTTAATCTAGTAACATATCATCTGTCACTTTAGTATTCGAAAAAGTAAGAGGATATATTTTTGCTTTTCCCAGCATGGAAACATTTTTATTAGCTGACAATAGTGTGGAATCTGGAACATGATGCCCAAAAGTTCTTCGCCTTTACCCTGAGTCGCCTGTATCAGTTCATACCGAGTCTTCCTTTGAGGTGCATCAGGATCCCACCTCTCAGGTGTCTCTCCCTTCTTCTTCCTCACCATTCCCTCACTTTTCTTTTTAGCTCTAGCCAACCTCTCAACCTTTGGCTGCAGCTCATAGGCAGACGCTCAGCAGTTTTTCCCATCTGTGGACCTCAAGATGGAGAACGCTCCTGGTTCTTTGGATCCTGGGGTTAGCTGGTGGTGGAAGGAGCACTGATGAACCAGAAATTCTTTAGGTACTGCTCAAAGGGGAAGAGTGTGAGCAAAACAATAGTTCCCTCGTGCATTGGCATCACAGTGACAAATCTTCTGATTAAGGAAACTTTCTTCTGGCCAATAGTGGCCAAGTATTATCAAAGAATTCTAAGGGGTCACACACTGATGTATCTGGTTTTTTTCTTCCCATCTTACTAAACATCCATGATCTCTACCATAGAAATGAATGGATTAATATTGGGAATAAAGCCCCTTCCTGACCCATTGTTTCCTCTGCGCCTTCTAGTAATGCCAGTGAAGAGATTAAAACTTTGCAGAAGATGACCAAGAACAGGGAGAACAAGATTGGTAAAAGCTGGAAATGCTTCTGGTGGTAGGCAAATATGCAAAGGAGACATGTCTCAGCAGAAACGTGATATGGGAGACCAGTGAGGAGGCTGCAGAAATAGTTTAATGACTGAGAACCTGGGACTTAATGGTTCTCAGGAGACAGATGTGACAGTTCTCTTGTGTGATGTGTCCTCTCTGCTCTAAAACTGGACGTCACTGGTCACTAAAACCAGGTGCGTGGGAGAAGGGGAAATGGTGCTTTCATCTCTTCCCTTTAGGAAGAACAGGCTCAGAAATTCTAGTTTCTCTTTCCTTTGCCAGCTACTCTCCATCTCTTCCAGCCAGGCCAGAGAAGTAACTGTTCCTGTCTCCTGACTCCTGCCAAAAGTCCCCAGTGATGCCATAGCCTGGCAGGGCAGTGAAAGACCCAAAAGAGTCAAGGAAGGCGACTTGTTAGCCTAGAAACAAAAAAGAAATAAAAAGTAAGAAAAAAAGGTTTCAAAAAGGTGAACCCAAGGGGAAACTAACAAAAGGGGGCCCTGCAGTTGCAGAGAAGTAGCTGGGGGAGGAACGAGGGAGGAACACACCCAGAGCAAGTAATTGCCCTCTCGGGGTTCCGAGTTCTGAGAAGTCACCCACTAAGACTGACAAAGCAAAACCTCCGTCCCCAAGAAGAGGATGGAAGATACTTCCGGGACTTCCTGAGAGGCCCTGCCTCCGCCTTCACAGTGAGTCCTGTGCATGGGTGAGCACCCAGCCCCGGGAAGTCCACACAGGGAAGGTGACAGGAGGAGGTGAGAGGACAGAAGCTCCCGACAGCAGCCAGGTCTGTCCCAGGACCCTCCACTGTGCCTTTCTCACTGGTTATAGTCGGAGGCTGTTTCATTTTTCCCATGACCTACATGACGCAACCCATTGTTTTCAAGCCACTTGACGCCGTCCTCGTCCTTGGTCACTCATCCAATCCACATTGTAAACTGACGTGCCCAGTACATGTGGACACACATTCAAAGAGCTAAAGAATGGAACTCAAAAGGGAAAGGGCTCTGCCCTTGGCCTTGAGGCATTTGTATTCTGTTGGAGATAAGAAGGAGTGAAGAAGGGCTGGACTTGGTTTAAGAATTAAGACAGACATAGACTTCCATCTTTTCTTGAAAAAGCAATGATGAACACTCTCAACCATGAGAAAGCGTGACTCCTATGGAGCCAAGGCAGGTTTGGTCCCTGGTGGGGTGGAAAAGTTGGTGTTAGGGGTCCTTCCAATCCAAGAATCATCACGGATGAACTTTGGAATGTTTACACATGTCAGAAGACTACTAGTCTTTCAGCCTTGACTTGAATAGTTCCCTTAGTTCTAGTGTTAAAGTCCTTTTTTCCTATTTCCTTAGTCTCTGGTTTTGAGTCCACTCGTCCCATTCATCAACAACTCCTGAATCGCCTGTGTGTTTTATATGAATCCTTCCATTCCCCAAATCAGTAACTCCTATTGCTGCCTGCAGGCTCACTACCTATGCATACTTAAAGCGATCAAAGACCAAGTAATCCACCTTTCCCTTTAATACAGCTTTAAACTATAGCTTATGTGTATTCACTTATCAGGAAACTTTAGAGCTGGTTGAAATCTTGATGTTTGCCTAGTTTAACTTGCTCATTCTGCAGATGAACAGACTGTGGCTTAATAATGTAGCAATTGACTTAATAATATATAGATGGATTAGTGATACAGATTGGAACCCAGATCTCCTTATATCAATCTTAACATACCGTACATCACATCTTTTTCAAGATGCAAAGTCATAGATTTTTTGTTTGTTTGTTTGTTTTGCTTCCACTTTATTATATCTATATACCGGCATGGCTGTTTACATAGCCAAAGTCTATGTCTCCGGTTACCAGATGTAATGATTGAGCTTCCTCCGATCACTCCTGTGATAACATCATACTGACTCACCCTCTCTGTCCTCCCTGCCAGGCTGAATTACTGAAGAGGGAGGCCAGAACTTACTGATCTGTTACCAGCACCTTCCATCAGACCAGGCTCAATGTTTACCAAGTTCAGCAAAGTGCAATGAAATTCTCTAAGTATCCCAAAAAGCTGAGAGCAAGACTCACTGCCAGCAAAAATAGTTTATCATCTTCTAAAACAGGGTCAGACTTGATTAGGATAAAAAGGTACTGAGCTCACGATGTGTGCAGGGCAAGGTACTACCTACCCACCGGTGTACACAGACCCTTTGCCTCCATCCTTCACTATATAAGCACGGCCCCTGAAAATATGAACAGGTGGTTTAGGCGATAGAATTGATTGCGAAGGGACTTTATGACCCATACTGTGTTAGCTTTCAGACCTTTATAACATATTCATGTTGCGTCCTATCCCCAGATCACTGGACAGAGTCAACTTGAGAAATATGGACTCGTTGAGTATGTGGAGTATAGTAGCCATAGCCACTGTGATTACTTAGTATTTCCAAGCACTTTCATACTCATTTGTTCATGTGATCTTACTGAAGACATTGTGAGGTGGGCATTATGCGTATTCACCCATTTCAAATGAAAAGACTGACAGTCGGGGAGATCGAGTAATGTGCACACGGCAGGCAGACAGAAGAGGCAGGTGGCCTTCGGATCCCTGCACCTCTCCTTCAAAGCTCTCCCACTCCCCACACACCATTCTCTACCTGGCAAGATCGCCGTCCTGAGCCTGCTAAGATTCCGCAGGTGCCCGGCTTCCCAGACCACACCTTTCTGGAACTCCTTCCCGCCCCTCACCCATGGGCTTGAGGAGTGCTGAGCCACCCAGTGCAGCCTGGAACCACGAGCCAGCTTCGTTCCCAGGGAGACCTGAGACCTGGCCAAAGCCCCTTACCCCCGTTCCTTGGTGTTCTTGCTTATAAAATGAAAAGGATGAAACATTTGGCCTCCACGTTTTCATTAATTTCAAATGGCTTGATTACCTTCTGGAGAAAATCTCGATCGTTGACACCAGCTCTGAAGGTGAGGATTCTGTCTACGGTAGCAAGCGGCCTACACATCGTAGGTCAGCAGTGAGTTCCTTCTGCTGCTGGGACAAGGCAACAGGCGCTGTGGGTGGCCACAGGCTCCCGGGCACAGGACTTGGATTCTCAGCTCACTGCTCTCCAGCCCTAGAACCTCACCTGCGACCCTGAGATCCCAAAGCCAGTTGCTATTCTTAGCAGTTTCCTCGGCGATACCTTCTGGCCACGGCAGGGCCAGGGCAGGAAGGACACGAGAGATGCCTGCCCCATCCAGCTCCTCTGCTCTCTCCCTCCACCAATAAGGGTCCTGCGAGTGTTTCCAGACACAAGAAATCTCAATTGAATTATGTGTTTCGGTCTTCTCGTAGTTGATTCTGTGGCTCCACTGTGGTTTCCTTAATGCCCACGTACTGCTTATGTCCTCTGTCTGGACATAGTGGATATAGTGGCTCTCATAGACATGCTCTCATTAGAGTCTCAGATTGGACCGAGATCTAATTTTTTTTAATTTCCTATTTGATTCTGTGGCACTGCTGATTTCTAAACACAACTTTCTAATGTTTAAAAGCAGTTATTTCCAAGAGGTTGGTCGAAAGCACTATGCCTGATACACTCAATACATTTTTAATAAATGGATTTATTGATTTACTAATTAAATATTTCTAAGAGCAGGATATATACCTGGATATTACATTTCTATTAAGAAAAACTGTGGCATTTATTTCTACTTTTCTGCAGGACCAGTCAGCATGTGGGAAGGGAGATGGCCTGGTGCAGCCTTAGCTCGGAAGAAGGTTAGAAGAGGAAGGAGAACTCACTCCGTTTGAAAAGATTCAGTCACTTTCCGTCACCTCATACTCAGTAGTAGTAGGTATCATTGGTTTTCAAATGCTCTCCTTACATGATTTTTGTTAATCACTTATTTATAACATCCAAATAAATGTCTACCACTCACGACAGAAATGGCATGTTATTGAGAAGGAAGGCCTAACTACACTGGTAATTTAATTACAGAGCTCCAAATTTAATTAGCCAAGTACTAACCTAGTTCCTCTTCTTCATAGCACTTAGCACAATTATACTTAATTAATCATTTGTAATTATTAATTCGATCTCTGTGTCCCTAGTTAAATCAGAAGAATCAAGAAAGCAGGACCCACGTTTCTGTCTTTGCTGCTCACAGATGCCTGGCCGGGCTCTGGGCTCACAGAGGGGCTTGGCCACACAGGGTTCAAGTCTCCGAGCTCCATCTGGACTGAAGGGTGACTGAGGATGTGACAGGGCTCCTTCCAGCGGCCACCAGGACTGGGTGGGCCCCCACAAGAAGCATGAAAAGCAGCTGAATCCAGGGTCAGGGCAGGAATCGACTCTGGAAACCCACGGTTCCCTGTGGTTCTCAAGTGTCCGGTCACAGTGCTTTGCCCACTGCCACCCACACTGAAGAATCCTCCTTTTCTCTCCTGTCCTCAGCTTTCCTTCCCTCCTCCTCTGCTTTTCTGCCTTTCTTCCTTAGTTTTTCTTTTTCTTTGCTTTCTTTTGTTCTTTCCTTTCATCATTCTTTTCTCTCTGCCTTTCCATCTCCTTTGATAGATTAACTCCATATAACTGGAGCTGTGTGGGTCCTAAACAGAAAACGGTGGCAGAAACAGGGATTTTGTCCTTCAGAATCTCAGTTGAGTGTCAGAAACCAAATGTCCCTTTCTCCGAGAGCTAATTGCATTCTCCCCTAACGACCTAGGTTGAAAAACCAAGGCTCAATGTCCCCATTCCAGCTCCAATCCTAGTGCAGGACTTCATCCAAGACTCCTAAAGGGAGCCCGTCACTTACTTCTTTCTAACTCTGCTCCTCCCTGCCAGCCTGACCGCCGGCTCCATGGAGAGGGACAACATGACCTGGGTGAGTGAGTTTGTCCTGATGGGACTCTCCAGTGACAGGCAGACCCAGGCTGGACTCTTTGTCCTGTTTGGGGCCGCCTACCTGCTGACCCTGCTGGGCAATGGGCTCATCGTCCTCCTGATCTGGCTGGACACACGACTCCACCTGCCCATGTACTTCTTCCTCTGCCACCTCTCCGTGGTGGACATCTGCTACACCTCCAGCTGGGTCCCCCAGATGCTGGTGCACTTCCTCCGGGAGCAGAAGACCATCTCGCTTGCCCGATGTGGGGCCCAGCACTTCTTCTCCCTGGCCCTTGGGGGGACTGAGTTCCTGCTGCTGGCCGCCATGGCCTACGACCGCTATGTGGCCGTCTGTGACCCCCTGCGCTACACGGCCGTCATGAGCCCAAGGCTCTGTGCGGCGTTGGCAGGTGTCTCTTGGCTGGTGGGCCTGGCTAATTCCGCCGTGCAGACGGCACTCACCATGCGCCTGCCCACCTGTGGGCACAACGTGCTGAACCACGTGGCCTGTGAGACCCTGGCACTGGTCAGGTTGGCCTGCGTGGACGTCACCCTCAACCAGATGGCCATAGTGGCCTCCAGCGTGGTGGTGCTGCTGCTGCCCTGCGGCCTGGTCTCGCTGTCCTACACCCACATCGTGGCCGCCATCCTGCGCATGCGCTCCTCCCAGGGACGCCGCAAAGCGTTCGGGACCTGCGCCTCCCACCTCACTGTGGTCTCCATGTCCTACGGGATGGCCCTCTTTACACACATACAGCCCCGCACCACAGACTCTGGCGAGGAGGACAAAGTGGTGGTGGTCTTCTACGCTGTGGTGACCCCCATGTTGAACCCTCTCATCTACAGTCTGCGCAACAAGGACGTGAAGGCTGCTCTGAGCCGAGTTCTGATGAAGACTTCTGAATTAAAACATTAGAGTGTGGTTTTTGTAATGACAGGGTTTCACCTCAAAGGCAGTGGGCATCAGAGCGTGCCCTCCTGCACAACGGGTGTGTGCATACTTGTGCATGTGTATGTGTGTATGCATATGTGTGCATGTGCACCTATGTGTCCATGTGTGTACATGTGTGCATATGTGTGTATGCATGTGCATGTGTGTTTGTACATGTGTGTAAGTAAGGGAAAAGGTGGGAGGTCTACAGTCTGCACTATACTGTTTTGTTGTAATAGGAAATGGGATCATATCTGTTCTCTATTTTTGGTCTCTCCCTTATTCCAAAAAATGTGAATACAAAAAATATATTGCAAAAAAATACACACACCGTACAGAAAGTTAAATGAAATATATTCATTTTCTTAAACGAAAGAAAGAGTGGGGGAGATATACCAGTGTATCTGAATCAGGAAGGAAGATTAAACCAGAAGTCAGGGCAGTGCACAAAATTTATGGCAAGAAAATCTGTTTCCTTGCTAAAATCTGCAAACATATGTCTAAACTTTTCTGTAGTCAGTGAGAAGAGGGGGAAAAAACACTGTGCCCATGGGATCAAACAAGCCTTAGATCAGAGGTACAAAGGTCACCCTGTGACTCACACATCCTCCAGCCCAGCTCACGAGGGTGGAGAATTCGCACAGGGATTTGGGGCCCAAATCGTAGCAATGGTCCCCTCAGCCCTGATGAACGTGAGTGGGTTATGTGAGTCATGGGGACGTCCCTTTGCTTGCTTCCCTTTTGAATCTGCAGTGGTGGCAAAGGGCTGGCCAGAAAGTCGGGTGTTCAGGACCTCAAACGAATATCTTTCTAAATCGAGTCCAAGGATGTCCTGGTGGTAAAACCGAGGGTGTATTCAGAGCTCCTCTTTGCTAGAAGGCCACGCTGCGCACGACCTGATGTAGCCAAAGGATTCAGCAAGGGAACAATCCTATTTCTCCGTAGCAAAAATTGTGTTCTGCTCTTAGAATACACAGATAAATTATTGAGTTCTCAACATCCTAGACCATAAAGCAAAGCAGTGATGATTTTATCTTGAAAGATGTTTGAAACAAGCTTTAAAAATCAGAAGAAAGCATCTCCTTACCTAAATATTATGGGTCTCTGGTTGGTCACAACAAAAATAAACCAAACATATAAATTGATACAATTCACACTTTTACTCAATATGTTGCAAAAATGCTGAAGGGTTGAAGAGAAGAGAATGGAGAACCATTTCAAATTTTTAGCAAGACTTTTTTTAAATTGAAGTTAAGTGCACACGTGATTTATACTTTTTACCATTTTAAAGTGTACAATTCATTGGCGTTAAGTAAATTGACAATGTTGTACAACCTCATGTCTGTCTAGCCATAAAACATCTCCATCACTCCCAAAAGGAAACCCCACAGCCATTAAGCAGTCGCTCCCTCCCCCAGCTCCTGAAAAGTACAAATCTGTTTTCTGTGTCTATGGATTTGCCAATTTTGGACATTTCATATAAATGGAAATATACAATGTGTTGCCTTTTGTGTCTGGTCTCTCTCACTTAGCATGATGTTTTTGAGGTCTACCCATGCTGTAGTAGGCAGCAGTGCTTTGCTCCTTTTCATGGTTGAATAATATTCTATTTTTGGATATATCACATTTGCTTATACGATCATCGGATAATGGACGTTGGGACAGCTTCTACCTTTTCACTATTATGAATAGTGGTATTATGAACATCCATGTACACATTTTTGTTTGAACACTTGTTTTCGATTCCTTTGGGTCAGTACCTAGAAGTGGCACTGCAGGGTCATATGGTAATTCTATGTTCAACTTTTTGAGGAACTGCCGAACTGTCCTCTGGCATAGCTGACCCATTACATGTTACCACAGCAATAAGCAAGGGTTCCAATTTCTCCACATCCTCACCAACACTTGTTATTTTTGGTTCCTTTGATGTTAGCCATCCTAGTGGGTATCAAATGTTACCTGATTCTAGTTTTCATTTGCCTATCCCCAATGAGTAATGACATTGAACATATCTTATATTCTTTTAGACCATTTGTATATCTTCTTTTTTGTTTGTTTGTTTTTTAGAAAGATATATTTTTTTTATTGTTACAAATATTGCCCCTGTCCCCCTCCCTTCCCCCCAATGTGTCCAATCCCCCGGTGGTGTGCATCACACACATTATGGAAGCATACACCCCTTTCCTTCTCCCCCCTACTGCCTGCCCACCACCCAATAAAAAGTTTTGTTTTGATTTTTTTTTTTTTGACATTTTTGGTTACACTGTATATCTTTGCCTCTCCCTAAGAAGGGTTAGAGTTATGCCCTTCCCTTCCAAAATACTCACCACCTCTCTAAGATTGGGTCCCCCCCCCTCCCAAATCCTTGGTGAGCATTGACACCATTTGAAAACCATAGTTTTAATCAGTCAGTACCAATTTGATGGAGAGTAGATGTAGGGCTTATTTTCCATGTCTTGTGTCGCCTCACTTTGGATAACGGGCTTAAGCTTAATCCAGGATATCATAAACGGTGCTAGCTCACTGTCATTCCTTAAGATTGAGTAATATTCCATTGTGAGGATATACCACATTTTAATTATCCACTCGTGAACTGATGGGCTCTTGAGTTGCTTCCACGACTGTGCAATAGTGAATTGTGCTGCCATAAACATTCGGGTGCAGATGTCTTTATAATAGAATGTTTTATGCTCTTTTGGGTAGATGCCCAACAATGCTATTGCAGGGTCAAATGGTATTTCTATTTCTAGCTGTTTAAGGTATCTCCAAATTCTTTTCCACAAAGGTTGCACTAATTTGCAGTCCCACCAGCAGTGTAGGAGTGTTCCTGTCTCTCCGCATCCTCACCAGCATTTGTTGTTTTGGGATTTCTTGATATAGGCCATTCTTACTGGGGTTAGGTGGTATTTCATTGTGGTTTTGATTTGCATTTCTCTAATAATTAGAGAAGTTGAGCATTTCTTTATATGTTTGCAGGCCATTATTCTGTCTTCTTTGGAGAAGTTTCTTTTCATTTCTGTCGCCCATTTCTTGATGGGATTGTTTGATTTTTTCTTGTTAATTCTTTTAAGTTCTAGATAGAAAGGCTCACGGGCTCTGTGCGGCGTTGGCAGGTGTCTCTTGGCTGGTGGGCCTGGCTAATTCCGCCGTGCAGACGGCACTCACCATGCGCCTGCCCACCTGTGGGCACAACGTGCTGAACCACGTGGCCTGTGAGACCCTGGCACTGGTCAGGTTGGCCTGCGTGGACGTCACTCTCAACCAGATGGCCACAGTGGCCTCCAGCGTGGTGGTGCTGCTGGTGCCCTGCGGCCTGGTCTCGCTGTCCTACACCCACATCGTGGCCGCCATCCTGCGCATGCGCTCCTCCCAGGGACGCCGCAAAGCGTTCGGGACCTGCGCCTCCCACCTCACTGTGGTCTCCATGTCCTACGGGATGGCTCTCTTTACATATATACAGCCCCGCTCCATGGCCTCAGCTGAGCAGGACAAGATTGTGGTGCTCTTTTATGCTATGGTGACCCCCATGTTGAATCCTCTCATCTACAGTCTGCGTAACAAGGACGTGAAGGCTGCTCTGAGTCGAGTTCTGATGAAGACTTCTGAATTAAAACATTAGAGTGTGGTTTTTGTAATGACAGGGCTTCACCTCAAAGACAGTGGGCATCAGAGCGTGCCCTTCAGCATAACGGGTGTATGCCATCATGTGCACTTGTATGTGTGTATGCATACGTGTGCATGTGTGTTGCATGTGTGTGTGTCATGTGGGTGCATGTGTGTTTGTACATGTGTGTAAGTAAGGCAAAAGGTGGGTGGTCCACAATCTGCACTATACTGTTTTGATATAATAGAGAAATGGGATTGTATCTGTTCTCTATTTTTGGTTTCTCCCTTATTCCAAAAATATGTGAATTACAACAACTTAAAAATACACACACCCTACAGAAAGTCAAATGAAATACATTCCTTTTCTTAAATGAAGGAAAGCAGGTGAGAAGATATACCAGTGCATCTGAATGAAGAAGGAAGATTAAATCAGAAGTCAGGGCAGTACACAAAATTCATGCCAAGAAAATCTGTTTCCTTGCTAAAATCTGCAAACATATGTCTAAACTTTTCTGTAGCCAGTGAGAAGAGGGGGAAAAAACACTGCCCATGGAATCGAACAAGCCTTAGGGCAGAGGTACAAAGTTCAACCTGTGACTCACACATCCTCCAGCCCAGCTCACGAGGGTGGGGAATTCACACAGGGATTTGGGGCCCAAATCGTAGCAATGGTCCCCTCAGCCCTGATGAACGTGAGTGGGCCTTGAGAGTCACAGGGACGTCCCTTTGCTTGCTTCCCTTTCGAATCTGCAGTGGTTCCAAAGGGCTGGCCAGAAAGTCAGATGTTCAGGACCTGAAATGCATGTCTTCCTACATCAGGTTCAAGGATATCCTCATGGGAAAACCGAGGGTGTATTCAGAGCTCCTCTTGGCTAGAAGGCCTGGCTGTGCACGATCTGATGTAGCCAAAGGATTCAACAAGGGAACAATCCTAGTTCTCTGTGGCAAAAACTGTGTTCTGCTCTTAGAGTACACAGATAAATCATTGAGTTCTCAACATCCTAGACAATAAAGCAAAGCAGTGATGATTTTATCTTGAAAAATGTTTGAAACAAGCTTTAAAAATCAGAATAAAGCATCTCCTTACGTAAATATTATAGGTCTCTGGTTTGTCACAGCACAAATACACAAAGCATATAAATTGATACAATTCAAAATTTTACTCAGTCTGTTGGAACAATGCTAAAGGGTTGAGGAGAAGAGGATGGAGCACCTTTTTAAATTTTTAGTAAGACTTTTTAAAAATTGAAGTTAAGCACACATATGATTCATAATTTCTACCACTTTAAAGTGTACAATTCATTGGCATTAGGTAAATTGACAATGTTGTACAACCTCATGTCTGTCTAGCCCCAAAACATTTCCATCACTCGCAAAAGGACACCCCACACTCATTAAGCAGTCGCTCCCTCCCCCAACTCCTGAAAATTACTAATCTGCTTTGTGTCTCTATGGATTTGCCAATTTTGGACATTTCATATAAAAGGAAACATAGAATACGTCACCCTTTGTGTCTTGTGTCTCTCACTTAGCGTGATGTTTTTTGAGGTCTATCCATGCTGTAGTAGGCAGCAGTGCTTTGCTCCTTTTCATGGTTGAATAATATTCTATTTTGTGGATATATCGCAGTTGCTTATACAGCCATCAGATAATGGACATTTGGACTGCTTCTACCTTTCCACTATTGTGAATAGTGCTACTATGAACATTCATGTACAAATTTTTGTTTGAATACTCGTTTCTAATTCTTTGGGGTCAGTACCTAGAAGTGGCACTGCAGGGTCGTATGGTAATTCTATGTTCAACCTTTTGAGGAATTGCCGAACTGTCCTCTAGCACAGCTGACCCGTTACACGTTACCACCAGCAATGAGCAAGGGTTCCAATTTCTCCACATCCTCACCAACACTTGTTAGTTTTGGTTCCTCTGATTATAGCTATCCTAGTGGGCATGAAATGTTACCTCATTCGAGTTTTCATTTGCCTGTCCCCAAAGAATAATGACATTGAACATATTTTATATGCTTTTTGACCATTTATATATCTTCTTTAAGGAACTATCCAGCACAACTTTTTAACTTATTTTTAGACATTTCTTTGACTGTTATTTTGTCTCTCAACATAAACAAGTTATTGCTTTCTCTATTTCCTCCATAGATGTTTTCTCTCCCAGTCAAATCCTCCATATGTGGGCTTTTGCCCACCTTCTTCCCAGTGTCTGCATTTTGTACAGCAAAGAAATCTCAGGAATTCTTCCTCCTTGGATAATGAGGGAGAAGAAATTGAAACTTAAAATTATTGAATATGCAAACTGTGTACATGATAAGCCAGGAATGGTGGTGCACACCTGTAGTCTCAGCTACTCGGGAGGCTGAGGTAGGAAGATCACTTGAGTCCACGAGTTCAAGGCTGTAGTGCTCTATGATCATGCCTGTGAATAACCACAGCATTCCAGCCTGGGCAACACAGCAAGACTTCACCTCTAAAAAAAAAGAAAAAGAAAAGAAAAACCTTTGTGTATGATGTTTTTTGATAAAACTAGTTAAAAATTGGAGGGTCCCAACCAAAGGCAATATGTTGGTTCTATACTGCTTGAGCCATAATCCTTCTTCATTAAATTACTACAGAGTAGAGGCAGTAATCTATTAAGACTTATTCCATTTATCAGTTCCAGGAGTTTCCTGGTTGAATCTTTGGGGTTTTCTAAATATAGTATCATATCATCAGCAAACAGTGAAAGTTTGATCTCTTCTGCCCCTATTTGGATACCTTTAATTCCACTTTCCTGTCGGATTGCTGTAGCCAGGACTTCCAGCACTGTGTTGAATAGAAGCGGAGATAGTGGGCAGCCTTGTCTGGTTCCAGTTCTAAGTGGGAATGCTTTCAGTTTTTCCCCATTCAGTATGATGTTGGCTATGGGTCTGTCATATATGGCTTGTATCATTTTTAGGTATGTCCCTTCTATGCCTATTTTCTTAAGTGTTCGTATCATGAAAGGGTGTTGAATTTTGTCAAAAGCCTTTTCTGCATCTATTGAGAGAATCATGTGGTCTTTGTTTTTGCTTCTGTTTATGTGGTGAATTGCATTTATAGATTTACATATGTTGAATCATCCCTGCATCCCTGGGATGAAGCCCACTTGGTCGTGATGGATTATTTTTTTGATATATTTTCCTGGTTAGAGCTGGAACCCATACTACTAGGTGAAGTATCCCAAGAATGGAAAAACAAGCACCACATATACTCACCAGCAAACTGGTATTAACTGAGCAGCACCTAAGTGGACACATAGGTACTACAGTAATAGGGTGTTGGGCAGGTGGGAGGGGGGAAGGGGGCGGGTATATACATACATAATGAGTGAGATGTGCACCATCTGAGGGATGGTCATGCTGGAAACTCAGACTTGTGGGGGGAGGGAGGGAAATGGGCATTTATTGAAACCTTAAAATCTGTACCCCCATAATATGCCAAAATTAAAAAAAAAAAAAAAAGACTTATTCCAGAGCCTGAGCTCTTGGCCACTACCTTCTATAGCTTGTATATGTGTATGGAAAGGACTCACCTGAGTTTCTAGGAAAAAATAATCATTCAAAGTGACTCACACATGAACACACCCTAGAAAGATATTCAATCTCAAGTATATAAGAAACAGTGCAACAGCAAACAGGTAAGTTCCGTGAAAAGACCAATAATCAAACTGGCACCAAACTTTTCCTCTGCAATAAAGAATGACAAGAAGGTACTGAAATAATTTTCTGCCAGGTTTTGAGGGCACAAAAGTATATAATACAAAATGTCATATCCTGCCAAATGATCCTTAAAATAAGAGAGAAACAAACAGATATTATCTTATATGCATGGCTTATAAAGTGTCAGGTAGGTTAATATTCGTACTTCTTAAAGGATACCAATATACAAACAGATAAAAACTGTAAAACCGAAAAGGGGAATCGTGTTGAATTAGAGATTCCAACAAATGTCTTGACTATAAAGAAGGTTGAAGGACACTTCAACCAAGAGGAGGTTGTCACAATCCAGTATATACAAAAAGGAAGCTGCAGTTAAATAAGCAGTTGATCCAATTATCAGAATCCTGGAGATGTTAAGGACTGTAATTTGGCAGTCGAAAGTAGGCAGGGCTAGTGGGCCTGCTAAAAGGGGACTCCTTGGAACATTGTTTTTGGAATAACCACACAGATCAGCTCCTCTGTCACTATCCACCACCAGAATGAATGCCCCAGCCTTCATCCTCTGGGGAAAAAGGAAAAAAAAAGAAAAAAGAAAGTTTTTTTTCTCTAACAGATAAGATAAGATTTCTTGGAAATCCTAGAACCTCTGCAGTTGGTGCTGTTTGTGCTGAATAAATATCACCTTTCTATAGCATTGTGGGGACCAATATCTTTATAATCAAATCCCTCCTTGACCACTTTAAAATGAACTCTATCACTTGATATAATTTATCCTCAATTGAAATACACTCAACTCTGATAAGACTATCCAGGGCAAGAGCTCATCCCTACATAGTCTCACCTGTGTAATTGCAGAGTGAACCACACTTGCTACCTAGTCCTTAATTCTTTTATATAAAAATAGGCCATCCTTATTGCTGAAATCCTTAAAAAAGAAAAAAAGGTAAGACAGTTCTAAGGTAAAATGAAAGAGTCCTCTAAGAATACAGAATAACAAATTCAAAAACAAAACTTATATAGTCCTTCTACTTCCAGACATGAAGACGTAACAGGATCCACAATTGCCCAGCTTCCATAAACAATTGGAACACTGAAAAACAATTAAAGACCATTATTTTCAGATATTGAAAAACAAGCCGCACAGAACTGTAATTCCTGTGAAAAGGAAAAATAATGAGGTGATTCTTAAAATCATCCAGACTTGCTGCCAGAAGGGGATATCCAGATTGTGGCACAGGCAGAGGGATTCCAAATGGAGTCTGGAAGTCTTGCTCAGTGGAAGACGCAGAGCTGGAAGGAGGAGTAAGCTACTACAGCCAGAA